GGAGGGTGAGGGCGTGTGAAGGGTAAGGGAGACTGCACCTGCGCCAGATGGGCAGCCCCTGGGCCTCCCGCCCCCCCCCCCAGAATCACTTTTATCTGTTTTACGTATTGGGCTTCCTCTGATGCTTCTATCTGAAGGAAGAGTCCTACAGTTTTAAAAGGGAGGAATAAAAAGGGTTGAAAATCACTGCATCCTATCAAGCTGGCTACTTCCCAATTCTGCCTGAGGCTGGCCTTCAGCAGAAAAATAAATCAGTTGCTTACAAAAGATCTACTCTATACAGAATGCTGTTGTGGGATTGCGGGGGGGGGTCCCCCAAATTCCCTGCTCTAATCATTCCAAAGCTCTAAAAAGACTTCACTTTATGCCCACTTTATTCGCTCATTTGACTCTCTACCCATTTCCAGACATTGCAAGGCAGGTTGGGGGCTGGCAGAGGTGCAGGAGCCTGGAGGGCAGACCCTCCAGCTAATGCCCTATGGAGAAGGTGGATCCGAACCAGCTCCGAACTGAGCAGGACCCCCAGTCCTGGTGCTCCCTAAGAGAGGCCAGCTGGTTGCCACCAAGAGAACTGGCTGGACAAGATGCTCTTTAATGTTCTTCCTGACTGAAAAGAGTGTGTTTCTGAGCTGAGGGAAGGAGGGGGAGATGTCTTAAGAGTGAGTTTATAGCAAGCAAATGGGTGTAATGGGTGCAATGGGTGTAAAGCACATGCCCCACTGACACACGCAGAGGCAAATACAGACCTTTCGTATGGGTTGTTTCTCTAAACTTCATGAGTAGTAAGGAACAGATGCAAAAAAAGAAAGCGAAATGTGGTGAGTGCTGATATAACTGAAGCAGAATGGGACAGAATACATCTATCTTGAATTTCCCCCGAGAGAGTAATGCCTAACAACACAAAAGGTCGTTTCAGATCTTTCCAAGGACCTCTCCGCGTCCAGCGGTGAGGCTCCATGTTTCAGGGAAAGGACGTGCGGGGAAGTTTCTTTAAAGCGGTTAGAAAGAAAACAGCGGGCGCTGGATCTACAGCCAGTCTCTGGGCAATGAATGATTTGTCGCCTTCTCCTTCTGGTATTGATTCTCACCTCAGACAGACAACAAGTGATTGCAGATGAAAGCACGCATGCCTCGGTGGCTGCTCAGCCTGTGTCTGAAAGCTTCCCCAGCATCCTGGCCCCCCGCACACCCCTCCCCGGGCTCTCACTGCAAAGGCCCATCCCCCTCCCCGTGGAAGCAGCTCAGCTGGCCTCACCTGCACACATCTGGAGGTATCACTCCTGGGGTACCTACATTGCAGCCTCACCACCTGTTTTCCATTCCCAGCAATCTATTTCAAACACACACACAGAAGAGTCTGACATTATGCCTCCTTGAAATAACAATGTCCATGTCACTGATACGAAAATTCTTCTTGATGCTGCTGTCTTCCCGATATTGCTAATGCCATCATCCAACCACTCCTAGCCTCTTAATAACATAGCCCATTTATTGAGCATCTACTTTGAGCCAAGGATTTTTAATGTATTACTGTTCACCTTTACACTGCCCCTGAGTGGTATGAAGAAAGGGAGATTCTGAGGTTAAATAATTACCCAAAGTTACATAGTCTGTGGATCTGAACTTTGAACCCAGGTGTCTGATTCAGAAGACAGTAAACTTGGGAATTCCCTGGCGGCCCGGTGGTTAGGACTCTGCTCTTCCACTGCAGGCAAGGGACACGTGTCCGATCCCTGGTCAGGGAATTGGGATCCCTGCATGCCAAGCAGTGTCACCAATGTGTGTATATATATATATATATATATATATATATATATATATATATATATATATATATAAAGAAGACAGTTGACTTACAAACATATATATATATATATATAAAGAAGAAGACAGTTGACTTACAAACATCTCACACAGGTCAGTGGGAACGACTAGCCACATCCCGTTTCCCCCTTTTCTTAATAAGCTCCTTCTCACAGCTCCAGGGAGATGGCAAAGGGACTAAAGCTTTCAAATACTAGGGGTCCAGAAATGAAAGAAGCTGGGAAATCTAGGGAGAATTGAACCTGGAGACAGATTTTCAGGCCTGGATTTTCTGTCTTTTCCCTCCCCTCTTGCCTGAAATTCTACCCATTAGGTTCATTTTCACAATTAAAAAGAGAAAATGGAAATTGCTTCTTGGAAGTTAAGGTGCTAATGACCATTTACTCCTCAGTATAAAATGTGTTCAATCGAAGTGAGACATTCTCCCCACAGTGGAGACCGCCTGCCTGGCTGGGATGCGAGCCTTGATTCACTGGACTGTGATTTGCGCTGGAAGGCCCTGAGGACAGAAGTCAGAGACAGGGAGGCCTCCAGAGGCCGGGCCAAGGAAATGATGTGCTGGCTTCACAACTGCTCTTCCTTCCTACTACACGGACTCCTACCCCCAACCCACGCTAAGAAGACAAGTATTAGGGCTCAGCAGGTGACTGAGTTAAAATGGCACCGATGAACCCAGGCATTATTTGGGGTGTTTTTACACGGAAATATGTGATCTGATTCCAAACAAACAAAAATATATTCATCATATTCCTAAATGTGAGGCTACCAAGAGACATTATTCACAGCAAGTCATACAGAAGCCAATTACATGAGCACAAACAAGCTTAACAGAATCCATCCAAAGGCAATGGGGAGTGGGGGAATCTGCTTCAATTCTTCACTCCTACAGGAAGTTGTTTCTAAACATGGTTGAAGAGGAGAACCTGTGATACCCTGGAGAGTAACTCTTACTGTTTCACTTTAATTATTCGTTTCTCCTCGAAATAAGATTCAATAAAAAAAAGTAATATTAGTTCATTTCAGACACCCATTTTGATAGGCATGGTGGGATAGAATTCACTATTAAAATAAGATCTTGCCAACTAACTTTATTACTCTCGTGCCCTTTAAATATCCACCTAGAAGTTATCCCACAAACATAAGAGCAAATGCAAATCACTGGGCTTTGTGAACCATAAAATCCAATATCAAGTAAGTGCTATCAGGGTGATTAAGAGAGAGCATGCTGACCTATTCTTATTGAGCCAGTGATGCTCCCCACAGCCGCGAGTGGATCATTTTCTCTTTCATGGCTTTGCTTCTCTGCGTGCAAATGGGAAGGAAGCATTCGTCACTCACATTCATCCATCTCAAAAGTGCCAGGGTCCTTAGAGCATCTAGTCTCACCACTTCATTGAAGGGATGAGAACACTTAAGGACAAGAATGCCAAAGCAGGACTACAAGTACTTAAAACCCACAAAGCTAGCGAGTGTCAGAGCCTGGAGTGGGTCAAGGTCTCCTAAGTCTTGGATCAGCACTGACACTCTGGTATAAGAGTAAAGTATGACCACACAGAGTTGCTGAGATGGGCTATAAATATACAAACCTAAATCCTTTACAGGACAGCCCGGCCATCACACTAATGCCAATAATCAGTTAACCTTTGATTTCTCTGGTTTCTACCAAACAGCTATGATAGAATATAATAATATGATAGAAGTTGTTTTTGACACATTTAGAAGCTACTAAAGTATTCGTTCAAAGTTAAATTGGCATCTTTTAAAACATCATTTTCACACTGAATATCCTGAGTTCTCTATTTATAGGTAACTTTAACCAAACACATTTAACATTTTTTAAAAAATCAGGATTACCTGCAAAGAAATTCTGTTTAGAACAGATTTAATTTTGACTAATGCCATACAAAAATGAATCCAATTTGCTTTAAAAACATTGAGTCAATAAATGTCTGATAGGAGCTTCCCTGGTGGCGCAGTGGTTGAGAGTCCGCCTGCCGATGCAGGGGCCACGGGTTCATGCCCCGGTCCGGGAAGATCCCACATGCCGCGGAGCGGCTGGGCCCGTGAGCCGAGGCCGCTGAGCCTGCGCGTCCGCAACGGGAGAGGCCACAACAGCGAGAGGCCCGCGTAACGCAAATAATAATAATAATAATAATAAATGTCTGATAATCTCTAAAATGACTTGTAGCTGGAGGATTCCTAACTGGATTGTGATCACGGCTTAACAAAATGCATCTCTCCAAGATAAGTGTACTCTCCTGGCTAAGAGCTGAAAGGATAGGAAAAAGATTACTCATGGCTGGTTTGGACTTCACATATGTATACGTAAAAGGTTAATTTCAAAAGTTCAGTACTTTTGCCAACCCATTTTATTCAAATCAATTTTTTTCTGAATAAAATTAAGATTAAGAAGTTGAGAAAATATAGAAGTCATGGAAGTAATCATTGACTCCTATGCCAAAGCATTAACAGAAATACTTCTACTGGAAGGACATCTCGCAGATAGCCAAATGACCTTTAGGGCAAAAAGTCCTGGGAGGTACACAGAGCAAAGTCCATCCAAACACTCTTCTTCCCCCCAGTCTCCACCTTATTTCAAGGAGCAACTTAAAGTATTACATCCTCTGAGCAGCCCTCCTCGATTCTGTCTAGTTGCTGCCATGTGTTGCCCCAGGCATATCCCTGATACACTCTACTTACTTACCTAGCTCCCAATTAGAATGCCAGCTCCTGGGTGTAGGGGCCTGGTGGCGTTGTGGCCTGTTCTAGTGCCTAGCACAGTAACGGGCACAGAGAAAGCATCCAAGTGCTTACTGGATGAATGGAAACAACGAATGGTGAGAACAGAGGCCTGGATGAATGTGTGTGTGGGGAATGCAATTCATTTCAGACAAATTCTCTTGCCAAGCAAGTAAAAACATGGAGCGTAGAAAAGACCTCAGAGATCATCTGGCCCAACCTCCTCATCTTCCAGAAGCCAAGTAATCTTGGCTTAGTGCTGCATGAACTATAAAAGAATATTTCAGAAAACATATGAAAGAATATTAGGAAAAGCAAACATTCCCTCTAATGAAGATACCAGCCCACACAATCTGCAAGCAGAACTTAATTAAAATGTTCACAGTGCTAATTTTATCTGGCTTCTATTAGTGCCTTCAAAAGTGTCCATCTATTACCTGGCAGTGTCAAGTCTACATCATCCAGGCTCAATTACTTAGTATGTAGATCAGGCAAGATTCTCTCTTCCTCTCCCGCCTGTGTTTCTCCAGCTTTTCATGCTCATTAGCACCTCCAACAGAAGGCTGAGGAAACGAAACTCCAATTTATCAATGTCAACTGTTGAACCAGCAAATTGCATCAGTCCCGCCCACACATGGAAGTGTTTGGACAATTCTGAATCAACAAGATGTTGGCAGCTGTGTTCCTATGGTTCAGTAACTGCATTGTTTCCTACTGTGTTCTACGGGTTGTGAAATTAATTTATTAAATAACCTACACAAAGGGAATGTGGTGTGGGCTAGTGGAAACAGCTCTGAGCTGGTGTTGGGAGACTGTCCCACTTTGACCAGTAGCCTTGACTTCAGTTTTTCTAGTCCTCAGGCTCTTAACTACCCAAGAGGATAATTCTGCCCTGAGCAGCGGAGAAATCTCTGGCACCTAAACCACTGTTGTCACTGTGCTTGAGAGAATGCACTAGAATCTGTAACTGACCACTTCATACTGGAAGACAGTAGTTGGGAAAGGAAAATTGAGTCCACACACATGAAGCATATAATGGAGGGATTTAAACAGACACAGCGTGTAAGAACCTGCTATATAACACAGGGAACTCTACTCAATACTCTGTAATGACCTCTATGGGAAAATAATCTGAAAAAGAGTGGATACATGCATGTGTATAACTGATTCACTTTGCTGCACACCTGAAACACAACAGTGTAAATCACCTCTACTCCAATAAAAATTTTAAAAAAAAAGAAAGAAACTAATTCTACTGTCTTTGGTAAGTTTGCCAGTTGGTATTTTGCCAGTTGTCTTGGGTTATTAAAACTAGTTGGTGTTTTGTAAATCTGGCTGTGTGACAGAATGAGACATATTTTCAAGTGAAGATGAAAAACTTACTTGGTATATTATTACAATTGTAAAAGAGGAAAAACAATTAAGTTTAAGAAAAGTCAACCCTAAGCCTAGTTGACCCTATTTCCATTAGTATTAAACCAGACTCAATCTTAGAAGGCAAAATGATTTGTGATTACAGAGAATGTCCCCAGAGAGCCACCCTGCTGAGGGGTGGGAGGGAAGTCTCCCTGGGCCCTAAATAGCTCAAGGTCTCTCCAGTGGTTGGGGTATTTTTTTCTGGGCAAAGATAGAAGAGTCTGAGTGGGAAAAATACCCTCCCTTCAACTGGGAGTTTGGCACTCACTCAGGGCCCTAATTTTGTTTTCAATGGTTTCCCATTCTTTCCTAAAAAGCAAAAAAGTTAAAGTAAGGCTTTCTCTCAGATGAAGAAGCAAAATTCCACTCCTTTCCAAACTCTGTAATCAATTATTTTATAAATAGGACTTGACTCAGATCCATAATCACTTACTGAAATCTACACATAGCCCAGGGGTTGTGGCCAGGTGGTACAATGGCTGACAGATTACTTACCCCGGGCTTGATCATTTCCACAATGGGCAGAATCATAGTTAATGTGTGTCAAGCACAAGCCCCCCCCCGGCTGGCCGCGCTGAAGTCTCTCGTAGCTGGGCTAGGTGCTTAATTTCCCAATCTCCTACCTAAACCTTGAAGAAACTATAAGACGTAGGTATTAGGATTACTAATTTGCAGACAGAGAAGTGGTTACTCAAGGGCATGAAGTGAGGAAGTAAGAAATTTAGGAACTAAAACCAGGTCTGGCTCACTCCAAGTCTCACCAGCTTTCTGCAAGGAGATGTTGGTGTGAATCTCTGGGATATTTTGTTCTTTCTAGACTGGATGACAAAGCCTTGCAAGGCACTCTTCCGAATAAATTAATGGTAGGACACTGAGGCCTTTTCTTCCCAACAGAGTCAATGGAATATGTACACAGAAATTCATCACTGGAGCTTTCGTTCTGGCTGAATGCTAATTTACTTTATTCTCTAATGAGGAGACCTCCAGCCAAACTGCAAGTCAACAGTCCGATGAGCGGCACAGTGGAGTGTGAGTTTTTAAAAAGCCACCCATGGAGCTGCATTCAGAGCTGAGGATCAGTGCTCCAGGGCTCCCTGGAATGTGCCATGGACCGGGACAGGAGGCCAAGGTTCCAGCTTGCTTTTGCCTCAGGACTGGGGCCGAGAAACCTGTATTCCCAACTCACAACTGTAGCAAGTCATTCCCCTCATCTGGGGCCTGTTTCCCCATCTGGAAAATGGTGGGTTTGGACGGACTGATGTATTTTTTAAAGTCAAGTCTATTGAGGTATAACTTATCTACAATAAAACTCACCCCTTTGACAGATACGGTTTGATGAGTCTGACAAAGGTACACAGTTTGATAACTATAGCCACAATTAAGACACAGAAGACTTCCATCACCCCCCAAAATGTCCTCATGCCCTTTTGCAGTCAATCCCCTTTCCAAGCCCCAGGCAATCTCAGATCTGATTTCTATCCCTATAGTTTTACCATTTCCTGAAGGGCACATAGCTGACAAAGTATTTAGCCTTTCATGGCTGGCTTCTTTTACTTAGCATGGAACTTTTAATATTCATTCATGTTGTTGAATTCACCAAATCAACAGCTGGCTTCTTCTTATTGTTGAGCAGTATTTCCCTGTATGGATATGATGCACTTTGTTTATCTACTCACCAGGTGATGCACAGTTGGGTTGTGTCTAGTTTTTTGCTAATATGAAAAAAACTATGCCTTTGTGTTAACATAAATTCCATTTCTCTTAGGTAAATACTTAGGTGTATGATAGCTGTGCCATTTGTTAAGTGTGGGGTGTGTGTTTAACTTTCTTATAAAGTGTCTCACTGTTTTCCAAAGTGGCTGTGCCATTGTGCATTCCCACCAGCCATGTATATGGACTGGGTGCTATTTAATGGGTAGCCTCAGATGACTGCAATTCCTATCAATGTCCCATGAATATATCGACTCTTCCAGAGCAGAGGTCCCATGAAATGCATCTCAGTAGCCTTCACAGCACCAAGGACAGATGCAAAGTAAGTGCATGGACTCAGCGCTGGGAGCCCTTCCGGGTCTGACAGCGCTATCATTCTCTTTTTTCCTTCTCTGGACATCTTGTTCTGTGACCGTGGACACTAAACACCAGCTTTAGGCTGAAATCGGTCTGGGACGGCCTGCAAAGCTACCACCTACTAGCTGTGTGAGGTAAATACTTTCACCTCTCACAGGCTTGATTTCCTCTTCTGCAAACTGGAGGTGATCATTACCTTCCGCGCAGGTTGTCAGAAGATTAAATGATGTAATTATGTGTGCTCAACCCACAGTAAGTGCCCGGTAAATAGCAATTTTTAGCTTCTACAGTTATAGACTGTCATGGCTGATAAAGAAAAGGTAGGTGATAAACTTGACCCCCTTCCAAAAGTCCCCAACAACAGCTAGAATGTGAAACTGGAGTGCCCTGTGTTCCACTGCAGAGGCCTCACCATGTTTTCCTGATAGATTCAAACGGTTCAAGAGTTCCCTCTCTCCACGCATTATGTTGGTGTATTTATTCTTCTCCTTATTTATAATGTATACACGTGTGTATATGTGTATGTATTAAATACGTACATACAGCGAGAGAGAGAGAAATGAACAAAAGAAAGAGTTCCTCTCTTGTTGAGCTTAGAGTCTAATGTGTTCCTTTTAACTGATGGGTAGAGAGACACAGGACAGAAGTTTTGCCATGGGCAAGGAAAAAAAGGCAGAGTGCCAGGGCCAGCATTCTAGATCTCAGCCAAGCAGCTTAAAGTGTGGCAGCATTTATGGGATTGCTGCCGCTCTAACTTCCATTTTATTCAGGGAAGTATACTGTAGGTCTAAAGGTTTCCTGAATGCTAATGTGTGTGTGTGTGTGTGTGTGCGCGCACACGTGTCTGTTAAAGAGGGAGAGAGGAGAGAGGCAAGAAAGGAGGATGGGGATTCCACTGGTGGGCATCTGAGCTCTGAACAATGCATCAACACGTTTCATTTTAAGCGCTGTTTGTGTTCCATCCCACCCCCACCACCCCCTGCAATCTAATTGCCTTGCTGTTTCGAGCACCCAGCTGTTGCTGTCTGAAACCTGACCTTCACTGTGAAGAGGCTCACAGCTGCAGCAAGCTGTCTACCTAGTAATGCCTGGGTTCTTACCGGCTTCATGCCTCTCCTTCCCTTAACCAACTTAGTGAAGTGGGCTGGTTTCCCTAGTTCCCTCCCCCAAACCATTAGTCTCTCAGTCAAAATAAGAGGAGGGGGGGCAAGTACCCCTTGAGGAGAGAGGAGTTCCGGTTGCAGGGCAGCCCTGCGGAGGGCCACTGGAGGCCTGCCTGGCTCAGTTCACTTTCCTACTAAGAGTGTGGTTCATGGACCAGGAGCAAGGGCATTATGTTAGAATGTTCATTAGAATGCAGAATCTCAGGCCGGACTCTAGACCTACTGAATCAGGGGACCCCAAGTATGTGTAGGCACATTAAAGTTTCAGAAGTGCTAGAATGGGATATAAACCCCAATGAGTTTTCCAAGAGCCTGACCTAAGCATATAAGATGGCCAAGCAGATCGGGACAAAACTACGTTGGAAAGGCAACGTGGTGCGAAGGAAACAGCCAGCCCCAAAGACCCTCACTTTCTGATATTCATGCCCTTGTGTAGTTCCCGCGAACACGGAGTCAGGGTTGGTCTGTGTGGCAAATCGAATGTGTAGAAGTGAGAGCACGAGACTTCCGGGGCAAGGTCATAACAGGCACCGCAACATTTTCCTGGCTCGGTCCTTTGGATCACTTGCTGGGGTGGGGAGGGGAGGCGGGTGGAAAGCCCATCACTATGTGGGGGGGCTCTTTCAAGACCTGGTGGAGAGGCCCACATGGGGATAAATTGGGGCCTCCCAGCACCGACTGCCAGCTTGTAGGTGGGACCTCCAGGCCCAGCCAAGCTTTCAGGTGACTGCAGAGCCAGTCAACGCCTTACCTGCTACTTCATGAGAGACCCCAAGCCAGGACCACCCAACTAAGCCACTCCCAAATGCCTGATCCCAAGAAACCGTGTGAGCGAATCAATGTTTAATGCTGTTTTAAGCCACTGAATTTTGCAGTATTGCTTATTCAGTGACAAATAACTAGTACTAGGACAGAGAGCTGGGTCTGAGACTGGGCTCCCCCTACTAGCAGTGGTTTTCCACGCTCACATCATCTTCTTAGTGCCTCAGATGCCTCATCTACAAAAGGAACAACCACAGTTCATCCAATCGTCAACCCCTCTGAACATACAGATGCACCATTACTTTATATATCACTAAGACAGGAAAAAAAGATGTCATCAAATTAGTACATCTTAGGTCCTCAAATGCATACAAATTTTAGAGACGTAAAATTGATGGAAGATGTGCATCTTAAAATTGATGAAATACAGTATGATGTGCATTCTGCCTGCCACACGGAGATGGTAAAAGGATCAACGGCACAACAGATGAGAAGGCGGGAAGTGATGGGCAGCGTACTGAAGCACCACTGCTTGAGAAAGGGAAATGACACTATGGTTCCAGACCAGCTAATTAAACTGGCTCTGCTGGGCTTCATCATTTCACTTTTAATGCTCTTGCCTCGGGCTCCTATCACAATTTATGCTCAAAATGACTGCTACAAAGCCCAA